ACACACACACACACACACACACACACACACACACACGAACACACAACCTCTTTCTGCCAAAACCTGACCCGCACCCTAAAAATGCACAACCTTCCCGACGCACTAAAGCACAGATTTTTCCGCCTCCCAACTAGTCTGCCGACTCAGTAGGGCAGTCCGGTGGTCAAGCCATTCAATCGCACAACTGACAAGTACCCGAAATGCCTTGACAACGCAGCTGGTGAGACTTCCCCGAGCAACTTGTGGTACCCTGTAAAGATATTCGCATCTACTGCATTGACCTTCTCCCCTAGAAACCGACATGCCTGAGCCAGTCCACTTGTACAGAATTATTTCGATCATGTAGTTTTTCCGCAACCCTTAAACGCCAGCTCCTCAGGAAAGTGAGTTGAAAAATGAGGACATCATTCGCACAAGTCAGCAATAACCAATTCACTTGCTACAGCGACAAAATAACAGACTGCTTCATTTATTCTCTTCACCTTTCCTCTAAGCCATGAGCATATATAACCTACTTTCTGCTTTTCTAAGACGGTTCATTAAAGTCTTTCCGCACAAAGCCTGTTTTGCTCTGTCCTCAACAGACTCTCTTCTGACCGGCTCTCTCGACTGTATCGTCTCAAAGGCCTGAGCCGATCGTCTTAGCTGTGCAACCCTCTTCGCAGACAGACATGTGAATTGGTTTTTCGGACGCTGTTCACATGTTCCCTTTGGTGCCGTCTTGACCTACCAAGGTTTCGGGTCCACTGTGTCCAGCAGGCGAGAATTTGATGTTTTTCGGTTTTCCTCGTTGAAACGTTGAAAGTCACTCTTTTCGTTTGACTCGCAAGCTGGCCTTGCTAAGCGATGAAGTGATGTGCTCGAGTCGACCCAAGAGATCGGCCTCCAACCCCGTTCAAGATGCACCCGATTGGTACCAATTAAGGAAAACTAACCCCACACAATTAGGGTACGCTTCTACATCGAAGCAAATCGGGTGACAATTTGAGATATTTTATAAACTACAGACGCAACCCATCTGTGGAGCACTTTAGGTAGGCTTCCAGTGGTCCGAAGCACCCTCGAAAATCCTCTGAATCTCTTCGTGGACGTTTCCTCTGCTCAAGAGAAACAACACATTTATTTGATGCTAGATATTAACGAGTAATGTTCACTCAATTTTCCCATAAAGATATGAGTAGAACTGACGTTTCCATTGAATTTCACATAGCCCTGCATTTCCAAAAGGTATTCTCATCCAGGGTGGATTGTGCGAAATTGAGCCAGCATAACTCATGGAGCTGAATTACTGGTAGTCTCGACAACCAGAAGACTGGATACATATTGACAACCGACAAATGTAGAGCTGAATAACTGGAAAATCTACACAAATGTCATAGACGAGAAAGGGAGATTTCAAAGCCATGACTTCCTTAGAAAGTCGAACATCTTCTGACCACATGAGCCATATCAGATATGGCTATTTTAGTGATGAGATTTAGAAACTGTAAATTGAGTGCGAGTACATTCTTAAGTCGCTCCAGGACTGATTGTTGCATCTTCCACACTTAAATGAATTAACTTCACACTGTCATTTATGCTCGCACTAGCTTGCCCGATTACAGGCTAGCCAGCAGTTTCGAACTTGCCTGGCAAAAGTGGTATATGCGAAGAAAATTTGGGTTTCGGGGAATCTCTTGTTGCATAATTGCTAAGCATACTTCCAGTTTGAGCGAATGCGTTTGGTGAAGAGATCCGAAGATCGATCTCACGATCTTCGGATCTTGACATGCTTACATTGGCTTTTCTGGAATATGCTTGTTGACGCTGGTTACGAGGCAATCTTCTTCGATTCTGGTAAAAAGGTCCGTTATATTAGGAACGAAATCTTAGCACGTTTTCAAATGAATCAAAGTAGATTGCCTCGAAAACTTCGTCAACAAGCATGTCCCAGCAAAGCCAATCGACAGTTGGTCAAGAGTCTCTGCTGGGATCGACCTTCGAATATCTTCACCAAACACCTTTACTCGAAATGAAAGTAAGTTAAACTATCTACAGTGGATTTCGAACTCGGCTCATGCCAGTCAGGCAGCCGTTCGACTGTTGCTAATCAGACAATCAATATAACACCATTATACTCGATGACGTTGCTCTATTCACAGCAAGTTGGCTTTACATTATACCAAAATATTATTATACTACTCGTTTGGTTTATAGTAGTAATTACACATGGTAAATCGGCAAATGGCACGTTGACAGAGTCTCAGAATTAATGTGAATTTCGAGAGACCCGATTTTGCCTAAAACTCAAAACTAATCCGTGACCAGTAGCGCTCATGGTTGCATAGCGGAGTGGTTACGCTACCACTTGGCACACATTACCAGTTGGGGGTTTTATATGGGCAAAATTCAAACTGGAGCCCAACCCGAGTGTGAACGCCTATTGGAAGGCAGATTTATGTAAAGTTGACTAGTCAGTTTACCCTGGGACTTTTTATTGCAAGTTCAACATCAACTTAAGCTATGATTTTTCTATGCGAATAAAAGTTGGGTTTCGAGGGATAGCTTAGTTCATAATTATTCAGCTTTCTTCACATTTCGAGTAAAAGTGCTTGGTGAAGCGATTCAAAGGTCGATCCCACTAGAATTTCTCTGGACCAGCTGTCGGTTGGCTTTACTGGAACATTCCTGTTGACCCTGTTTTCGAGGTATTCGCCTTTGGTTCCAGTGAAAACATGCTAACCGTTCGTCCGTCAAATGACGGACGTTATCACCATAATCAAAGGAGATTGCCTCGGAAACCGCGTTCAAAAGAATGTTCCAATGAAGCCAAGCAACAACTGGTCGCGAGGGGTCCTCTATCTTCTTATGATAGGATCGAACTTCGAATCGCTTCGCCAAACAGTTTCAATCGAGTTGAATGTGAGCTCGTAATTTCCTGTTTTTGCAAACAGACACAAATATTATATGAAATGTATTCACTCTATTTCGTTTAAGATAAGAAAGGAATGGTAGCTGAATTTTCCCACAACAATATGGGTGGAGCTCACGTTTGCATTAAATTTCACATATTGTTGTCGGCCCAGATGGTTGACATGTCGAGATTACACGCTGCATTGCCATGGTTCGAGTCCCTACTGGGGTGTCGACAAGGCCTAGGCGAGGTCGAAACTGCAGTCTAGCCTGGATGAGAATATCTTTTAGGAAGGCAAGGCTATGTGAAATTCAATGGAAACGTCAGCCATACTCGTATCATGGTGGGAAACCTCAACTACCAGTCCTTCACTTTAAACGAAATAGGGTGAATACATCTCATATTACTTTTGTCTCAGTCATATTAAACAGCTGGCCTCGGCAGATATCTCGAAAACATGGTAACATTTGAAAACCAAGTATGAACTATGTATTCGATTTTCAGGGTAAGATGGCAAATTTATACCGATTACTCTTTCTAAGACCAGAATAAGAATTCCAGTTACCGTAAGTAGCATATGATAAAGGACTGGGGGCTGAATTTTCACATTGACTTTCATATAGTTTTGCTTCCCAAAAGTTATTTTCATCTCGAATGGGGTGGGCTACAGTTTTGACCTTTCCTGAGTCTCTTCGGCAACCCTAGCGAAACTTGAGACCGGATAATGCAGCTTACAACTCACAACATGTTTCCAATATACCATATTGCCAGGTCCCTCTCGTAGCATATTTAATGTCGGAGTGTCGCTGAGGCCAACTTGGCTTGACCTTAATTTTGAAATAAATGTTGTTTGGAAGGAATTCGGTAATTTGTCTCGCCGGAAACCAAAGGAGTGAAGACTGTTGTATTGTGCCAACAAGTCCTCGGCTCACCGTCCTGCTAATCTGATGAACCTGTGCCAAGCTTTCGTCCGCACTGTGACAGACATTATCAGAGCAAGAATCCACACTTTACGAAATAGTGCACCAATTTACTCGACCAAAAGGGAGGCCAAACACATCACGAGGCGCCTCATTATAATCACAAAATTAGGTGTAAGGAGTGAATAGGTTTGCGGCCGACCCCCATACGCTGGGTTTAGCATATTGGTGAACTATTTCGTAAAGTATGACGAAAATTTAGCACGGGTTCATCGCACAGCAGTGAGCCGAGAACTTCTTCACACAATCCAGCAGTCATCAATCAGTCTCAGGTGCGACCGATTTGCAAATTCCTTCCAGCAAACTTTTCCTTCGAAATGGAAAGTAGAGTTACACTAACTCACCGATGAATTCGTCTGAACTCGGCTTTTTTCATACAAACATTTAGTTTGCCAGAACAATCGATTACGGTACTTTTATTTAGAGTATATTAATGGAAACTTACTGATATAATTGTAGAAAAAATTTAATTGTTAGTCCTTTTTGTCGAGAAATGTATCCAAGTAAACAGTTTTACAATAATGGTGTTGACTATATGAAAAACCAGTAAAATTATCTTTGACTGTCATCACAATTTCAACTACGGCTGAGTCTCACTAC